TTTTTTGGGGGGGAGGGGGGGGGGGGGGGGGGGTAGAAAGGATGTTTTGGGGGCCTTGTCAGCCAAAAAGCCCCTTGGAGCAGCCATTTTGAAGGAGGGGGCCATTTTGTGTCCCTTCCTTCGACCTGACAGGCAACTGCCTGCCTGCCAAAAATGGCTTCCATTCTCATCAGCCAAGAGGGAACTTTTCATTTTCCCTCACAATTTTTATCTCCTCAGAGCTGAAGGAGCTCTTCTTTTGGGGGAGGCTGGCCAACGCAGAGCCAGAACTGAAAGCCATGCCACCTTGGCTGAGAAGGATTCCATGTGTCATGGACACGGCGTCTTATTTCCCCCTCCCAGAGGCCAGGCTCTGAGCGAGAAAGCTGTATTGAAGGAGGCGGTGTGTGTCTCCATAATATTTCCTGCACCAGACACACTCCCCTCACATCCTCCTCTTGATTCCGCAACATTCATAGCTGCATCTGTTGGAGACATGTGGGAGAGGGCCTTCCTTGTGGTGATTCCTTTAGACTCTGGAACTCCCTGACACTGAAGGCCAGCCTGGCCTTGTCTTTGCGCTTCTTCTGCAGGTCAAAGAAGACCTTTCTCTTCAGGCAGGCTTTTCTTGAGTGAATGGCCACCTGAGCGGGGTTTCAAATGGATTGTTGTACCTTATGCCCTGGAATGTGTCTTGCTGTTACTTTTTCAGTATGTTTTTTGGTTTGATCTTTTTTGTATTTGTAAACTTACTGTTTCTAGCTTTAAATACTATTTTCTAGTCATGTCAGCAGCCTTGGGTACTTTTTAAGGGGGAAAAAAATAAATATACATCTATATTTCTTGGCCAGTTGAATGCTTGATTTCTGCTTCAGGCAAGCCTTGTGCAACATTTCCAGGATGAATCAAGCCATGGATTCAGCTTTCTGGCGCAAATTCTGAATCTCTGACAAGAACCAACTTACAACATCGCAGTTTGACAACAGTCCTTGTGAAGCTGTTGAGACATGCAAAATGTGATGTGCATTGAGGTTGCCAAAGCCTCTCACTGCCCCCCCCATGAATGCTATGATTGAGCGGGGATTTGAATCCAGATCTTTTGGCATCTATGCTTTATCCTCTGGAGATTGCATGAGCCACAAATTCAGCACTTATTTTTTCTCTTTCCCAGCTGGGCCTTCTTCCCCAAATTGTCTGCGCCCCATGGTCACACGATGGGGGCTGGGTGCCTGTGTGAATTTCGTTGTATGGATATACCATGTATATACTTACAATGACAACAAATTATTATTATTGGACCATCCCCTCCCCATTTTTGGTCTCTTTTTAAAAAGCTCGTTAAAAGAAATCGTAAATATAAAAAAATATGTGTATGCACTTCGCAGATTTTGTTCACCTGAATTCAACTCTTGACACTTCAGTGGAAGGTCATAGCAGTATGAGTTTATAAAGAAAGGAGAAACGATGTGGGAGAATGTCAGTGAAAAAGGGAGGAAGTCCTTCTCATTCCTATTCTCTAGGCCTGTCCAGAGTGCCTGTTTTGGATGTCAAGTGGATGGGGCTACCAAGGGACGACTGAGGTGGAGTGGGGGGGGGAAGAGAGATGTACCATTTGATGTGCCCCCCCGAACAGCAAACAACTGCTTGAAGCACAATCACCTGCCAATTAAGAATTTACTCCCATCCCTGTGGAGAATTAAAGGGAGTGGAAAAAATTATGTTGCTCCTCTCCCTCTGTGGATGCCCTTCTATCCCATCCTCCCCCCCTTCCCTTCCCTGGCCCTTCCCAAAATGTTCATGGATTTCTTGTGGTCTCAGTGTTTTTCCTTTCCCTGATCTCTTGCTGCTCCCTGCTGGAGAGCTGGAATACGGAGTATTAGCTGCTTTTAGAGAAATCAAGCAAGGGCAGAGGATGGTTTGAGGAAATCAGGCGGGATGGAGCTACAGGAGGAGTTTCACAAACATGCCACACACTTGGAAATGCAAGCGTAAATGAGTATCATCTTTGTTTCTTCTTTTTTAAAAATTATGAATGTGTGTACCCATTGCTTACAGTCCAAAAAATGGGAGCAGGGGGTGAGATTCATCAGATCTCTCTGTCGGACCCTACACCTATGCCTAGAGATCGTGACCAGATCCACGTACAAGGCACTTTTAGTCTTAAATTGCCTTGATATTTGGGCCTTCCCCTCCCCTTCTACATAAATCGACTAGCCTCCAAAAGCAGAGCCCATAATGTGCTGCTTCATCCGGGGAGAGGAAACCCTGAAGAGAAACCACGTGCCAGGCCCTGCCCTCCGTGGGGCTTCCTTCCTCCTGTTCAAAACCACGTTCAGAGCAAACTTTCCTCTGGCTGCCTTTGTGGTTAAGTGCAAAGTCATTCTCCTTGATCAAGACCCAGAGAACCGCACCAGAAAAGACCTTTGTGTGCAAAGGGGGGAGGGAGGCTGGGGAACAGAGCTAGGATAGTTCTTCTAACTTGACTTTGCCTTTCCAAAAACCCCTTGGACCCTGAACGAATCCTACCGATAAAGAAAACTAAAGCAACAGAGTCAACTATATAGACGAGAATCCCATCTCCAAAGCCTCCTTCAGAGACAAGCAATGGACCCTCCTTCTCGCCAGAGAAGGAAGGGGGTCTCGCAACGAGTGTCCCCCCCCCAAGGTGAAACACACCAGAAGCACAGAATTAGGTGTCAAATTCCAGCACAACCTCTCACCATCCTGTTTACGTTTAAAAGGTCCGTAATTTGAATACTTCTTTTAAAAATGGATTCCTCTGTTTTCGGCACAGCCAAAAGGCCTTGCACACTGGAACATGCCAGCTGCCCCTTCCTCCCAGCAAGACGGGTCTCTTCGTCCGCATTGTTCACTTCCCTTCTTTATGGCTTCAACTGTCTGATAACCACACCGGGCTGTGCAGAAAAGTTCAGAAAAGAAGCACCAAGTTGCCTTCCCCCCCACCCAGAAGGCAGCAGAGAAGGTCATTGGGGGGGAATACATTAGAGAAAAGGACCCTAAAATGAACTACTATACAGAGGATGAAAAAGTCGACACAAAGCCATCCCTGGCCTAACACAACCTCTGGAATGGAAAGGGGTTGTGGACAGACAGACTGGCTGACAGACACACACCAATATGGTCATCTGATGCCCTCATCACAGTTGAGTTAGGGTGGGGGCGGATTAGGAATAATTAAGGTGAGCCTTTAGGAAACCAGTTGATAGGCTCTGTGATTACTAAAAAAGAAGATTCAAATCTTTTCAGCACTAGGATATGTTACTTTTAAGACTACAACTCCCAGAATCCACAGCCCGCACAATTCGGGTTTGGGAACTGTAGTTCCCCCCCCCCCAAAAAAAACCCACAAGTTTTCAGCTCTGACTATTTTAGGCCAAGCAGCGCCCGTCCCCACCAGCACCGCTTTACACGGGGAATCCTTTAAACCGGTTCCTTCGCTGCCAATTCGGATGTTGCTCCCAGTCCACTTGGCCACAGCTCCGAAAAGGATAAA